CAAATAACATCACAAAAGAAAATTGATAGTAAAAAAAGCCCTGGCAAACAACAGTGCACATGCATGTTGTTTCTATTTATTCCTCAAAGCAAATATAAATGTTGACTGAACAATCAAAAGGGATAGTTTTTCTCTTTTTGTATTGACCACAAATAGTTAATTTAGGTCATTTTGGAATACTCTTTATATATATATATATATATACTTGACGTAAACCAATAAGTTATGCTCTACTTTCTGTTTTCTTTACTAAAGATCACGACTGAAGAATATCAGTGTATTTTCATGTAGAATCAGGTCCAGCCTAATTGAATTCTGGATTTAAAAAAAATAAATACGGAGAAACTCCCCTCTAATTAACTCACAGACTCTCTCAGTTGTGGAAATACCCTAGTAGTGACCATGTACACCCTGTGTCTTTTGAGTTAGTCATGTTTAAAGCAGAAAGGCCTATTTGAGAGCACTGTTTATGCTCGTAATTCCCACACTGCTCCTATTGACAACCTCAATCCGTGTGCGCGATTCCAATTGGGTTGTGAAATTAATATGGCTGTTTTTGTACATCAAGGGCAACCTGCACTCCTTTGAAAGCAAGGGCATTGCAATTATGGGTAGTAAAAGCCTACAAGCTTATAGTGCCATCTGTACTATCCAACACTTCCACCCATCTCTAGTTGTATTGCTAACTTTGCGTTTCACAGCCTCTGAGAAAAACACAAACCACCAAAGAACAACAGATACGCTTATACAGGCAAAATATTTTGAATCTCACTCCACTAGCCAACACATCTATTTAATCTGTTTTAATGATTTTTATCCTATTGAGAACTACTCTTCATTAATCTCTTCTGTGGAAAATAGACCCAGAGATCTTCATTGCCGTGAATATAATTCTAAAACCTTTGTGTAAAACAGCTACTGCAGGTTTGTGCAGCACCTGCTCTGAAGGCACCTTAGTCAGACCGGCTCCTGCTGCTCTGAGATCAGTTGAATTTCTTGGGAGTGCGGCAGGGCCTATGCTTTTTGTGGGTGGATTCCATACATATCCCATATGTAAAGTGTGTGCATGAACATGTACAAAGTGTTCAAGCACCTGTAATAAGGTCTGTAATTATTTATTACCTGCAGCACTTGTGAAAGAGGTTCCTACTGACACTAATGGAAATAACGACGATATTATCAATCCAAAACATTCTCTTACAAACTAGAATATTTGTCTCCAAGTATCAATGAAGAAACAACTCGATTAATCCTATAATCATCTTTAAATATTAATCAGTGTGAGTGACCACATCTGAGGGAGAGGGATGCATCAAGCAGCACAGCAAGATTCTTTTCACTCTGGATTTAAAACATGGGGAATCTTAACCAAAAATGTTACGTTTTCCCTCTCATATGAAGATAGGGAAAGTTATAAAAAGTTTCAGATTGTTTGTATGAAAACTACTGGGACTTTGGCAGCAAAAAGTTTCAAAACATTCTTTTATTTTCATCCTAATTTCCAATTACTCCCAGTATTAGTGAAAAACTTGCCTAATGTAGCCTAATATAGCAAGACCATACTGATAGAAACCATCACAACCATTCCAATAAATTTAAAGATCGAATCCTGGTGTTTAAAGTGGACTATATAATTAGTCTCTCAGGCTTCAGATTCAGATCAAGGTGTTTGACCTTTCAGGTAGTGTGTATCTTTTTCTGTTTTCAACACAGTTTTGACACCTTCGAATCTCAACCCAGTGTGTAAAATGAAATGACGCTGAGTGGTAGCACAGAGGCACCTCAGGCACAACACGGACTAAACTTGGAACTCCTCCTATTCATCCCTCACCAGACAGATCCTCCAGATCGTGCTATTAACTTGTTTTTCCCAACTATCACAATGATTTCATAACCAGGGGTCATGATAAGCTCTGGAAATAAGACATGGGGATCACCAGCAAGAATGAGGTGGCCCTTAAGGGAAAAAATCTGTGCCCTTCTCCGTTCTCCTCAGGGTTACACGATCTACACAACGTCCTTCATCCCAGCAAATGCCAGGCAAGGACGTCAGATCTCTGGCTCCTGAATCAGAGGGCAGCACTGGGAGACCAGACAAAGTTTTTTGGATAAACAGGCTTTTCTCTCCAGCCTTTCCTCAGGGTGTCCTATAGCTACGCCATTGTGACACAACAAATGTGGAAGTTTCTGAGGGTAAGAGGGTTGAACAAGGGTTAACATGGCGCATTCTCCTCTTACTGAAATGATGTAATTTCCCTCCCCCTCCCCGAAAGTATTTGTTGCTTGGTTGTTTATACGCTGAATTTAAAATCTGTATTATTAACCTGTGTGATTTAAAATTGAATGCATTCTCATATCTGAAGACATTTGTAAAAATGTAATTTAAACATCCAGTGCTTCATAGTTATTAAGAAGTACTGTTTTTTAACTACAAATTACCCATTTTCTCCATTTTTATACTTTCTCCAGAAAAATAAAGACTAAGAAAACAGAAGTACTGATACACTGTAAGAAATTGTCCCAATGAGTTTATAATCCAGTGAGAGTTACACGGTACTGATAAGTAAAGGAAGTTCAACCAGACAGTTTAATCCTCCAATTTCCTGTCTTCTAATCAGCCACTGACTCCTCTGGCTTTAAATTAGAAACATTCATGGCAATATTCAGGACAGGTGAAGTAAAAAGAGTAGAAAACAACTAGGACAAATACTTATAGGCAAAAGGAGGCCATGTGTAGAAAATAAAGATACTATAAAGTATATGTATAATGATGCACTGAAGTGTTTAAGTTATACACAGAATTTAGGAACTCTGACAGAGAAGGAATAATTTTATTAAAAATATTTATACAGCAGCTGAGCAGTGTATGAACATATGAGAGTTACTGTATAAAACAAAGGAAATCCATGCAATGTTATGCTCTGTTCACACTTCATTATTCTTTGTTATTTTTACAGGGGTAGGAGCAGGATAATTATTAATACATATATGCTTTTTGATTCATAGTAAATCATAAGTCAGAAGCACAGACCAGCAAAGCCACGGATGGTTCAACAGCAAGTGGGGATTACCATGATAAACTTGGATGAGAGGATGTACAGATACGCTCAGTGATTTAACCAAAAAAATACTACTTTTGAGTATTTTGACAGTAACAATTAGTTTTTCATATGATGAAATTAAATGTTTATTAGATACGCCATTCTTTTTAAGCTCATTTACAATGAGATTTATAGAGAGGATTCTGTTAGTTCTTACTTGATGGAAATTATAGTACCTTTTAAAATTTTCAAGTTTTTTTATTGCATAAATTATCTGAGCAATTTTAGTTATTCCCCTGAAAAAAACAGAGCACAGAGGTGGGAAAGAAAAGCAGTTACCAACAGCTCCACTGCAAAAATGATGTTGAGTTAAAAACCTTTAAAGTAACAAAATGACCACTTCAAGTCCAGTCTGACTATTTTTAATAAATTCTCTTTTTATTTATGGTATCTAAAGAAAATAAAGACGTTTACACTGAACTATGGATAATAAAAGTAGAAAACCAATTATTTTGGAAAATGACTGAAAGCTCTGCTTTGACTGTCGCACTAAATAAGAGCAGTTTGCCTGCTAACTCATACATGGAGTCATTGGAAATGGTTTCTTATTTATTAATGAGGCTTTTTATATTTCTTCAGATGTTTCACAGAGAGAACACTTTGGGGCTTTGAAACTGTTTGGACTGAGAGAACTCAAATTATGGGTCCAAGTTGGCTCTCAGTCCCTCAGGTGAGTAAACCTGGAGTCGCTCTACTCCTCCCAGCGCAGCCACTCCAGGCAGATGGCAGCGTAAACCTTGAGCAGAATTTGGCCCAATTTGGGGTCTTTAGTTTTGTATTGTCATGGAGAATTCTCCTCTAGTATACACCTTTGCTGCACATGTATTTCAATAACCCCATGCAAAGGAATTTTGCAGACAATCCCTTATTAAACATATTATAGTCACATCATACTGGCTTTGCTAGAGCAAATAATTTTAAAAAAATAATCAGCTTGAAATAAATGTTTATAAAAGTAGCACAGCTGCACATATTTGTTACAAATGCAAGACAGTACTGAAACTTTTCTATGACTAACCCTTTAGTGACTCTATGGCAGCAGCAAATTTAAATTAAAAGTGTGAATGATAACAAAATAATTATCATTTTTCCAGCAAATTCATCTCATATCTTCAGGTTGCTGTACCAGTTAAATTATTTGCTATTATATCTATATTTAAAAATTAAATATAATTTATTTCTATGCAAATTTACAGCATTTGGGAGAAATTTTCTGCTAAAAAGTCATATTACAACATGGTCAAAATAATACTGTTTCTGCATTTACTTGATTAAAGCATAAAAAAGTAGATTAGGTGTAAGATTGCCTTGAACAGTGGTGACAAATGCAATTATTGCTAAAATGTACAAATCCTATGGGCTCTGCTGAAATGTTTGAAACATTTACAACTGTCTACAAGAAAGAAAAATAACACTTTTCTTTTACTTTGACCTCCTGCTATTTTGGCAAGTAAGATAAAATATATTAGCCATTCCATCAGATGGCTGGAGAGAAAAACTAGCTGTGATGAGGAAAAACGAATTAAAGGAGCATTAATAAAGATTATCTATGAAAGAAAATAAGGTCAAAATTAGAACTCTGCATTTTAAAGCCACCTTTCAGAATTGCAAGCTGCTTTGCCCAATGCTAAAATCCATTCATTTTCCTAATCATGCAATCAACCAATCTCCATTATCTCCAGAGCTGGCTATAAACATGCTATAGACTGGGGTGAAAGAGGGAGAGTGTGAGGTTGAGAGACAGAGAGAGGGGAAAAAAGAAAGAAAGAGAGAGAGATTACTACACCCAGCCTTTTATAAAGCCGTTTCTTTCATTATAACAGGTCCTTTCATCCAAATGACACAGAACCTTTAAATTTGGGCATAATACTCCAGTACAGTACACAGCTAGAGCTTCAAATGGATTTAGAACCTGCTCCAGAAAGAAAACAAACTCCCTCGCTTGACACACAAATTGTTTACGATTCATTAAAAAGCAAAATTGCATATCCCAGTGCTGGCAGCTGAGTCCATATGGGTGCAAGGGGTATTCACTCATCTCTTTGTATGCTGGCAGTACCAAACCGAAGTTTAGCACTGTGCAGCTGAGATTTTGTGCAGCCAGACGATGCATGAGGTAATTTTCAAAGCTTTATTTGTCTTTAAAACATTAAAATCTGCTCTCTAGCTTACTTTTGATTAAAATAACGTGGCAAATGGGATGAGGTTTGGGGGGTAAGAAAAAATATATCTACTTTTTGTTGTACGTTTTAGATTAGTAGCGTATGAAAGCCTGCTTATTACTCCATCAATAATTGAAACTTTGTATGAAAATTATTTGCAATTAACACATCTATTGTAAAGGTCTTGAATTATTCATTTCAGCTAAAAATAACATCTCTTTCATCTAGCACAAGTTCAACAAAAAAGAGGCTATTTTAGTGATTTTTTTTCTGTTAGAAAATAAATGGTGTGACGTTCAAGTTTAAGGAGAACTTTCTGCAATGTTTAATCTAAACAACAGCATGTGTGGTTATAAAACTGTTTATTTTTAGGCAAGTGCATTACTAAATGTTTCCAGGATTTTTGCATATTATATTCACAGTACTAAAACATCTGTGAAATAGATGTGACTGAAATGAAACTTCCTCGGACACTTTCTACAGAGGAATAATAACTGCCTAGTAACATTTGAGGATACTTACTAAATAATAAACATGGACGTACCTCTTCATAAAAGCAGCCGATAGACAATAAAAGAGGAGTGGTAATAAAATATACAAATGGCTTAGAATAAGGCAAAATCACAGCATGATATAAATCTTTGTGGTTAAAACAGGTACTTGAAAAACTTTGCTTTGAAAATGATAAGTAAAAATCAATAGTCTTATTTACAAGAGTTTAACAAGCTAAAAAAAAAAGTCACATGAATAATCAACAGTTTATGTGCATGCAAATACCCCTTCCCCCTCCAACTTCTCCTGGCAGAAAGTCTAATTGGAAAATCAGTACTATAAGTAAAGTGGTTACCCTTTCTTATTCCCATTAACCAAACACTGCATGTTACATTTCACTGGCAACCGCTGGCAAACCTCTAAGAGACGCTTAAAAAAATCAAGAGTTTAGACAAAACAAAACGGAAAACCCCGAACCCAAACACCTTTAAATACAAGCCACATGATATACACAATGGCCACCATCAAGCTGCAGAATAAAAACCTTCCGGATCTCACTTTTTAAAGTCTTTCAAGTCCTCTGAGGTCTTAAACTTTCCAAATGATACCAAAATTGGTCCGGGGCGGCGAGGGGGAGGGAAAGCCCCCGACTTGTTTCAGCGTATCATACAATGAAAGTGATCATGCCTTGTTTTGTAATTCCACTCGCCAGTCCTTTTTTAACTGATATCTATGTGAAATGAGCTGAGGTTCACGGTCCAGTTAGGAGCGGATAATACATTCATTGTCCTTGCAGCAAACTTTTCCTCTCACTGGAAGAATTCACGCTTGCCACAAGAATAATAATTACAGAAAACTAAAAATGCGCTGCTAACGAATTAATCCCTAACGGACAACACGCTAACGAGGGCAGTAATGATTTGAGGACTCTCTTCCTCGCAACAGGACTTGGCATCTTCTGCTACAATGGGCTATTGTGCATCCTCCTAACTCACTATACCTCTTATAGATTCAAGATGTCAAAGGTTGTCTGGCCCGGCTGACCATGACATGCTAGTTAACTCGTTCTACGGAGCACGTTGGGACTTTATTGAAACTTTAATTGCGCCCAAAAGCAGCTAGAGCCAGACTATGTGGGATCTGTAACACATGGCTCCAGGTCAGCACAGCCCGGGAACCTGTTCTAACACAAACAAGCGGAGGGAAAAGTTAGATCGGGGTCTCGGCTGAAAGGCAGCACCTCGCAAACCGCGCTCCTCTCACACGTGATGATTTTACACCACGCCACGACCGCACCGTCCCAGGCTTTTACAGTGAGCGACTCGCCGGGTAACGGACTGAACTTTCCACCTCCCCTCTCTACAAAATATTGCATGGTAAAAAATGCACGCGCACACGGACACTGGGAAGCAGCAGATAAAGTAAAACAAACTGAGCGCTAGGCAGCCGACTGAGACAAGTTACTCTGCACAACAAGGCTTTTTCAAACTACTTCTTTGCATACTTTTTTTTTTTTTTTTCCCTTAAGGAGAATTGAAAAAGCTTCCCTCTGGAAACTGTAGTGCACATTAACGATCTCCTGTTACACAGGGGAAAGCACACAAGTGGGGCAAGTGTGAGGCTGCTCTACTGAAGAGTGTGAAAAAAATCAAATGTTAATTTGATAAATGTGAGGTCTGGGACATTTTGTCAAAGAGGGAGGGAAAGTAGAAAAGGGAGAAAAAAAAAAGCAGCCCTGCTGCCAACTCACCATCCACCAAGTTCTGGCCGAGATGTCGTAGCAGAGCTGCCATTTGATGGAGCCGTCGGAGGTTTTCCCTGCCATTATGCTGTCAGCAAGCTTCATCTGATGCTAACTCACGGGAGATAAGACACCTAATTGAGAAAACATTTGCACTGGCATGTTGGGCAACATGTAGCCCGGTCCATACCATATGGAATCATGGGTAAAAAAAAAAAATCTCCTTGACAATGAACCAATCTCTCACAGACCCAGTGGCAAGGTGAAGTGGAGATGAAAAGTCATCTGCTCCTAGCACTGTCTTCTCCTCTCTCTCTCTCCCTCTCTCTCCCCCTCTCTCACTCACTCTTTTTTTTTTTTTTAAATAAGAACCCACTGCTCAACATCAAAGAGAGGCAGTCAAAATTAGGGCTTCATCACTCAGATGATTTTGGTCTGCAAGGTTTTTCTTTTCTTTCCTCTTTTTCTTTTTTAAGAAGAATAAAGAGATTTAATAGGACAAAGGCAGGTAGTGGACTGTGGAGGGAGATCGCCACAGGCTATTAGCCTAAAATTTCTGCTTGACAGATGGAACTGCTTAGAGACTATCATGCAATGTTTTGGGTGGGTTTTTTGTTGGTTTTTTTTTGGTTTTTTTGTTTTTTTTTTAAGACTTTCAGTCTGATTCACTATCTGTTTATCGCAGCTACTTTTCTCATGTATGTGACCGGGAGGGGGAAAAAAAGACTGAGAAAAAAAAAGAAAAAGATCGCGTCTCTCTTTCTTTATTTCATAATTGTGCATATAATCATTTAAGCAGTGAAAGGCACAACAAAAGTATAAACTGCTCCAGTTAATTTCTCAACCCTGTGACAGACACTTTCTGAAGGAATCAAATGCTCTTTCATTTTTTTAAGATGTTAAAGTTTTGGCTCTTTGTTCCTTCTTGATTTTAGATATCAGATCATATTGTATAAATGAATGACTTTTCATATAAAGGTTCAAAGTGTCCCCTAAGAACTGAACAATTCCCTTTTTATATATATATTTTTTCCTAATATAATTTTGCTTCCATATTTTTAAAATCTGGTTTTTAATGTTACACTTTCTAATACCATCAGGTGACAACCACCAAACTCACCGAGGATTGTTTTTTCTTCATGCAAAACTTCTCTGCAACACTCAAAATTTACATGAGGAATTGACAGATAACTTGGGAAGAGACAACTCCAAAACAACAAATTTTGAAAAGTTATGAAATTCTGTTGCTGCCTAATATTAAAATCCATTTCCTGGATAGCAAAGTCAAAGATCGTAATAGATTTTTTGCCAATTTCCCACTTCTTCTGGAGCACTGCAAGCCCAACAGAAGTATTACGTTTATGACAGCTGACTATTAAGCAGGCAGTGAATGCTTTCCATTTAAATCACCCTGCTGTGTCACACGGAGTGACAGTTGCTGGGCTGTGACCACCACCCCTCACTGACAGGGCACTCCAGCCTATACAGTAGTGCCTTTCCTCAAGAGCTCAGAAAAATGAACTTCTGAACTGGCAAACGGACTCTTGCCAGGAATATTTCTTAGGGCTGTGGATCTATGGCTAATACATCTTGCTCACTCAGAAACAGCTACACCCTGCAAATCTTTTTGTGATTTGGATGCAAGAGGAAAATGTATCAAAACCATCCACTTGATTTTAAACAATATCCTTTTCTGTTTGTATCAAAAAAGGGAGCTCGTGGGCACACTATTCTTCCTTGGATTGTTTTGTGTACTAACTGTTGTTTAACTGTTTGGCTACAGTAAAATGATCATTCTGGGCTGCACAGATTACAGAACTGCTATTCAGTGCAGGACAGGACAAACTTTCATTGAGTTTCAATAATACCTTCACGTTTCTGAGATGTGTGAGAGGATAAGCAAATGATTTAGGGTAGGTACAAACTGCTAATGTAACATGTAGGGACTAGGGGTTTGGGTTTATTTTCCTCAGCCTTGCAATCTGTTTAGACTACATGAAAAATACATTAATGAATGATCTATGCAACTACTCAGCACACCAGTTTGCACTTTTAGCTTCAGATAGCAGGTATAATCCCACTGCAGTTTACAGGAAAGGGTCTGACTAGCATGGGAAGTGTTAAGTTTTATTTTGAGTCCAGAAAGAAAAAGATGGACACTGTGCCAGGAACTGTCTTTGCTCTGGCTAGGCAAAGTATTCGTCATCTTCTGTTACTGCAGGTTTGTTACCTGTCCTTTCAGTGGGTCGCAGATTATTGAAAAAGCCTCCCTCCAAATAATCACACAAAATATAAAGTAAAACGCTCGGTAACAATCCTCAGTAACAGTCCTTGAATCAGTGTCAGATTCAATTCTGTGCTGCTCTCCTGCTCCTACCTCTCAAACCCATCAACATACCCACCCGGCTTATTATTTATTTAGTATTTCATGCCCAGTTGTGCTGCACATCATTCCAGACATGTTCTGATAAATCTCTATTCTATATGGACTTTCAGCACCTGGTGTAGTTACAGAGCTACTGACAAACTTTTTCTGCATTGCTCTATTAACCACTTCTTCCTATAACAATATATGACTTTACCTCCCACTAATAATTATAAACACACCAACTAAGTATTTTTTTACATAATACACTTTTCAGATTATGAATGACAGAAGCATGAAACCATTTCCTTCCTGACAGTGGAGTGGTTATGTGCAAAGAAATGAGGAGTGCTGTTGGTTAACAGCATTTTAAATTCAGAACAATTAGGTGCAGTTAACTTTGCCATTGTTCTTTCTGATGCTGGGTATGGTGAGTTCTTACCCGTAGAGCAATTACTCCTTTCATAAGCGGCTGTTGTTAATAGCATTAAAACAAGATTAAATACAACATGTTAAATATTGCAATTATTGTGGAAAATAAAATTATTTGGTGAGCATAATGGGGAGCAAATCAAGCATTTAACATGATCCAGGAAATGCTGCTCCAAACAATTGCATTTGTTTTATGCAATTTTTCCCCTTTGATTGCTGACAGATGCCGTTTTGGAAACAAACATCTAAGTAGTTTTCCTTCAATCAGGAAAAAAAACCACACACCAGAAAATGGCTACATGTTTTGAATTTAACTCTTGTCAATCAGCATTCTGTACAACACTCCCTGTGAATAGTACTGGGACAAAACGATGCCTTCCAAAGACTAATAAGCCACAAAGATGTTTGCTTCTAAATCAGATCTGTTCTGAAGATGGGAAAAGCCTTCGTGCAGCATCGACATTTGTGCAGACACAGCTGCAAAATAAAAATGCTTGCAATACAGGAGTGATATTTCACATTGAAAATAAGTTAGGTGTGTATGCTTGTGGGCTACAGGAGAAGAGATTTGTTTTCTGACAGCTTCAGGCCTCAAGCAATGGATTGAAGCACTTGCCAGTTTCTTTCTGACTTCCTGCTGAAGAAGTAGCCAACTACCCACAAATAATTGGCTTAATTGTTGAGCAGAAGTACCTGCAACAGTTCAAATAGTGTGAGTGGGCCCCTCTACCTCCCCTCAGAAGCACATTTGGATGGGGATACTGTATATGGAACCAGGAACAAATGCTAAAAAAGGCTAATAAAGTATATTAATTCAGATGACTGTATCAAGCTGGCATTTTACAGTCTACTGGAAACCAAATGCATGAGAGCATTAGAAATGTTGGCATAGCGGGTGGTTTCTCCAAATGTTGGCTTCTGCTATTCAGATTGGTAAAAGAAATGTGGTAGAACTGTGTGCATCTCCCAGCGCCAGACACATCTTTAGGATCTTAGTCCTCATTACTAGATTATCTATTAATTGCACAGCACCCATTGCTCATTAACCTTCTCTTTATTCCCTTTGCCTCCCCCTATTTCTCCAGTTGCAATTGCTCAGAACCTTTTCAGCTGATTGCACCAGTGTGATTTTAGATCTGTTCCTAATTTGAGAGGCGTTTTCCTTGGGAAGCCTGAACTTAGATGAGTTACGAAGAGGATTTCCTTATCTCGAACAGCGACAATTAGTTCAAGTGCCACGTGAGAGCAGGCAGTTGATTTTTGGACAGCCTCTGAACTGATGCAAAGTTGCTGACAACGAGTGTGTTCTAGCTTTTGGAAATCCTATAATCCTGGCTTCAATCAAGAGGATCTGCTGTTGCTGAAGGCGTAAACAAGGAGAGAAGCAGCATGTGACCACGGCTGCTGCACCTTCAAGGTCTCCCAAGCCAAAATGAGTGCAATGGTAAAGTTTCTACTGGTTGCTCAATGTTACACACATATTTCAGATGATATTTCTGAACCCAGGGAAAATAGTCCTTTCCCCTCTGCAGGAAAAGTTGTTTTTGGACTCTGCATTTCCCCCTGTAGCTCTGTTTTGTGTGTTCCTCCCCACTCCCTTCTCACTCCTCTGATTTTCTTCCTACCATCTGTATTCCCCTTTTGCCTCATCTGAAACAAGCATCAAGATCTTGTTTCTGACAGAACGGTCTGTCAATATGGAAACACACTGACATCACAGACAGTGCTGTGACTTCATGTCTGAAAGAAACAGGAGGAACAGATGAAAGGAGTGAAGGGGAAGGAATGACACATACAAACATTTTTAAAAAATAAGTAAAAATTCTTCTCTATCAACCCAAAATGTAAAGGAACATAAACCAGATTTATTTTTAAGTCTAAATATAACCCAGTATTTCTTAATCTGTGACCGTAACTCAGTACAACATTTCAACATGCTCTTCACCTAAGAGAGGTCCCTGTCCCCCAGGAGCACATGCTTGGTGGGCTCAAGGCCCATGTGACAGCCAACATGACCTCAAGAAGGACTGAACAGGGACTAATCTGGGAAAAAGTTAATATCATGCATGTATTGGAAGAAATCTTCAGAAACAAGGGACTAATCTATACCATCTAAGTAAATGCAAATTCATAGAATAATAGATAAAAGCATTCATCAAAATCACAAACTCTATTTGGATGCAGCTGGATCAAAGATATCACTACCTGCTGGGGTGGGGATACAGGACATACCCAGAAAATACTGAGCACACAAGGGTGGAATATCACCTTACTATTACTGTGTTTTTTCTTCCTAGTATGAAATATTAACAAAAGTGTCTAACCAATATTTCTATTATTAGCAAGTTTTTTTGCATAAGAATTTAGGAGAAGTTAGAACCCCATATTTCCTTCACTATTTGAAATATGTATTTGGGCTCCAACATTAGAGGGCATCCAGAAGATATTGCTTTCCTGCCATCTCCAGAGCCACTGGAAAAACCTCTAATAAGGACATTCGTAACTAGTAGGAGAGGAGCTCAAGAAAACTAAAAGGTTAATATATTCTAACTAGATGTTGGGTATAGAATGTCAGATCTGTCAAATTTCATTACAGTTTGCTGCTCAATGAAAAAGATTTGATTTCTTTTGCCACTGTCCTACTATGTTCAAGTCACACAGTGCCAGCAGCAACCAGCCAACGACCACAGGCTGGCACTGAGCGGGCCCGAGTGGGAAGCCAGCCGCAAGGACCATCTGTTTCCGATTTCTAGCGAAGCCAAGATGTGCAGTGAAGTGCATTCCATTCACCCAGCCAGCCTTCTCCCTGCTCAAGTTATTAGTGTTACAAGTGAAATTATCTTTTCCAAACAGCGGGGGAGCTATAATCCTTATGGAACAAGGCTTTAAAAAAAGGGGAAAAAAGAGAAGGGGGAAAAAAAAAAGAAAAAAGGACAGGAAAAAGGTCCCCCAACACTCCCCCCCTTCAAACATCTTTTGTCAAAGTTGTCAATGACACTGTTTGTAAATTCAATTGCCACATTCACGGGTTTTATAATTTTAAAGGATGTTCTATTAAGAACTATATTCTCTAAGGGAAGAATGTGTACGTCAGTTCATGGGCTCTAATGTAATAAACCATTCAAATATATTTTGAGGGTTATTTATGAATAAAGTTAAAAATGACAAGATGAATGCTCATTTAATTCTCTCTAACATGAAGCGCCTTCAAAAACATCATAGGTTTAGAAGTATAATTTAAAGTGCGAATGCATAAACAGTGCTAATTACATGCTACTTACATTGTTTCAATATGTAATGCATATGTTTAACCTCGTAGAGGAAGGATTGGTCTTGGCACAGCAATCGTGGGGATTTAAGGGTATGCTAAACTGATAACTGTAGAATGAGCTCTGACACAGGATATTGGTCTCCTACTGTTACCTAAATGCCAGGTGAAACCAAAGGATTTATAGGAGGGCGGGTGGAAAGGGGAAAAAAAAAAAAGACAACACAATGAAGTGAAACTGAGAAGTTTATTTTCAAAGGGGGAAACATTTATCCTTTGACACCATTCCATTCTGGTGACTTTATTTCTAATATACCATGAGATTAATGATGTGGCTACTGTCACTGTGTCTGATGAACACTGGCAGAGCTGTGGAACAGTTGCTCCCTCTACTATTATTGGACATATTTGTAAATTGGCATATATAAGATGAACTCGTTCTGTGTGCCAGCCAATTGGAGTGTCTTATTCAGGAGGACACAATTTTTGTTTTGCTATTGAATTCTATATCGCTTTGAGTTGTTTAATATTGGCTGATATAAAAACTTGTTTAAATTGACAATTTTTGACAGTTTTCATGTCATATAATAATCTCAATATGACTCTTATGCAAATCAATTGCAGATAATTAGGGAAGTAAATTATCATATGAAACAGATCTCTGACATACCAGAGGTGAGTCAATATTTAAGTGTTTGCTTAGGGAGGACACAATTGCTGAGCATCACCATAATGAGTCACTGTCTTAAGCCCAAATAATTTATTCTTTCAAACGTAACGCTATCATAAAAGAAAATCCAGAATAGGTAGAATCATAAAATCATAGATTATTAAGGATTGTTAGGGACTTTAAATATTCTGTTCCTAACTCCACTGCCATGGGCAGTGGCACCTTCCCCTAGACAAGTTGCTCAAGACCTTTCCAACCTGGTCTTGAAAGTTGCCAGAGCCGGGGCATCCACAGCCTCCCTGGGCAGCCTGTGCCATTGTCTCACCACCCTCACAGTAAAGTATTTCTTCCTAATACCTAACCTAAATTTCCTCTCTTTCAATTCATACCCATTACTCCTTGTCCTATCACTACAGGTCAGTTCCTACAGGTAAGAAGAGAGGAGTCAGAAAGGAAGAGGGGTGCAGAAGAATTCAAAGACCACAGGTGGGAACTGGGGGATTGCTCCAGACAGTTTCTGTGTTTGAGGTCTCAAGGGAATGGGAAGAGGGAGAATCCAGCAGGTGAAAATCCAGAAGCTCTACACAGTTCTATCATTAGCTCCATCAGACACAGGATGCTGAGTACTGGTTCTTACTGAGTACATGACCCAGGTAGACTATTTGTGCAGGCATAGGCAAGTCTCACATCCTCATTTGAACTTGTAGGTAACACCACTAGACTCAGAACTATTTTTGGATTCAAAGACTGCAGTTGTACATGTGGTAGGAAACTAATTTCTCAGTCTATCCTTTAATATTTTTACTTATTTGTCCAGTTCCTGATAAGGATTTGCAGCAAGTGGTTCTTAGTGGAAAAAAATGTTTACTATTTTTTTTACTATTAATCAGGAGGGACAGACAAGTTCTCCAAGTCTCCCTGGAAATGGCTTTCTTGCATAGGACCTACCGAGTCCAGCAGTGCTGGTGGACTTTCAGGCAGCAGTGCTAAATCAGTGCCTTTTATCATCTACAGCTACATAAAAGACTGTGACTGCTCCTTCCTAATGAGAGACTTCTGGAACGCTCTCTGCTTAGGGCTATTCTTGAGGAATAAGGAATCCAAGACAGATGTGGCAGTGACCATCATATTAATCTCAGAGACCAAATCCCTCAAAGCAAAGGAAATATGAACAATTAAAACAATAAATACACTGAATCATAGGAATTTCCAATGCCCTCAGTACTAACTCCAGTTCCACACATTAATTTGTAATTCTTGAGCCATGAATAAGTAAATCCTCTTTTGTATAGAGAACAAGATTAAAATGCTACTAATATTAAAACCACTCCTGTTTGCTGGCTTGTATGTGTGTTTAAATACCTGCCTATTTCTTTGCTTCACCTCTTGAGTGTCAAACTTGTCCTCCTGCTAATGCAGCTGACTGGCAGCCAGCAAACTGAGCACCTCAGGTAAATACCTGGAGAAGTGCTTTGGCAGGGCTGAGCTGCTGTAAGCAAATTTTACAAGCAAGTCAGGCATAAGCCATTGAAATAACTCTGGATTATAGAATATTTAACAGCACGATAACACTTTTGTGACTGTAAAGACATAGTTACACTCTTGTGTATTCTATGGCACTGGACATCACCCCACAGAAGAGAAATCTCTAAATGTAGTTTATTCAAAACACGTCACTTTAAACAACTTTTTTTTTTCCCCTCCAGTTAACTGATAATACAGACAAAGGAACTATGGAGATGAAGTCTATAGCACTTTTCTCTTTTTGTGAGACTCCTTTTATTTTCTGAAACAGGTTTTAAAAATCTGCAGGAGTCACTAGGAAGGGCAGAAAAGTTTCAGCGAATCAAGTTGAAAATTTGTCATGAATTTAGAATTTATGAAAATCAGTTACTTCAAATTTTTGAAAATCAAGTCTAATTCAAAATGCAGTATACTCCCAGCAAAGAGGGGGTTATGTAGAAATTCTTTGATATTTTTTCTTGTATCCACTAGACATTTCCATTAAAATAAGACAATATTATAAACTTAGTTATTTGTTGCCTTCATTCTATAGGCCTGACATCTTCCTCATGCTAAGGGATTTGCTTTTGCAAAGGATAACTCTGGCTGACAGTTATGAAAGAACTGGTGAACGAACATTCTAGGAAATACATGGATGCAGAGGCTGCAGAGTGTACCTTGATGCACTGCCATCTTTTCCTAACACAGGGATCCACCATCAAGAAGATAACACTATCTGCCTATTAGAAATCCTTTGCAGGGCTTACAATTTCTTTGGAGGGGGGTCAGGGCCATGAGTGTTCCTGGGATTGGGTAAAACAGGAGGTGGCCTTTTGCTGCTACATCACCTGTCCCTCACAGGATTTCTTGCAGGTCTGTGCTGGCAGGAGTTTGCACAAACCCAGAAATCACTCTGGGGGCTGTGCATTTATCTTCATAGATACTACCTAAGGAATAACTGTGGGCTCATCTCCATGCTTGGGATCAGATGTTCTCAGTTCTGAAGAGCTCAGGAATGATTTCGAAACGTACTCTGAAGCCTACTTGGTGGGAACAGCTGGAATGTGTGTCTGCATTACCAGCTCTGATACTGTGAGCACAAACACAAGCTGAGTCACAGTAGATGACAATGCTGCTGACAAAATGTTTTAAACTGCAAACTAAAACAACAATGGGATTATTTATGGACTGCAACTCTTACTTTAATGTCAATAAATGTACTGGATAAATTCCCCTTCATTAGCTGGAAACCTCAGAAGGAAACAGAAATATTCTGGTAAACCACAAGCTTGTTCTTAGCAAATAGATGGCTACATTTCCACTGCCAAGGCATATCCAGACTGTTTCTTCACTGGGACAATAAATCTCTGGGAGTGAAAAACAAAGTCTATAAAAGCAAGACCTACAAAGTAAGGGTGTGAGACACATGGCCCTCAAGCCTCCAGAGGATGGCATTAGAAAGTATTGAGAGTAGCTTTTTTTCTTTTTCTTTTTATGAATGGAAAACATGTTTTCCAAGATCTACCATTCAACTCAAAACAAATGGTTGGAACGAGTCCCTGTCACTATGGGAGGTGTTTGCTCTCTTATCTCCCGGGCTGCAGACAGCCCAGACAGAGTGAGTTGGTTTGACTGCTGTGTGAAACAAAATAGAAAGAAATAAAAGGAGGAAAAACACTGAAATAGTATGTTAGACTTCCATGATTTTTGAGATGCTGAAGGAGCAAGCCTTTCCTTTTAGTAACTGGTTCCATAGATGTACATCAGTCCATGTGATAAGCTGAATTCAGGGTGCTCTAGTCCTTCCCCATCCTACATCCCAGCAGCACCTAACTGCTGCCAGAGGCTTCGTGGAGAGAAACAGAGGACCCAGAGATGCCACTGGTTCTTCCATTGTGGAAGAAACTCCACCAGATCAGCTCTGGTCAGCTTCCCATTCCTTGAGATTGCTTTTCAAAGTCAGATGGAACGATGCACAGCGCTTTGCCAAGTAATACTGATGCTACCTCATGTTTCTAGAGGGAATAGTTTCATGTCAGGATGGAAAATCCAGATATCACTATCACAGATTGCTTTTTCTCTCTGGTCCTCAGCACTTATCTCTCTTTACTTTTCCTTTCTAAATCTGTGGTTCTATATCTTATCCTGCACCTAATGGCTCATAAGCTCTTTCCAAGATGGAAAATGTGGTATTCTCTTATCTCTGCAACATTGTGTTTATTTATAGCATGACAGTAATGACACTTTGAATTTACTTCTGAGTTTTTTTCTTATTGTAAAGACAAGACACACAAACAATTGTGTCTGGGTCTAAGTATATTCTTAACCCCATTCAATTTATTTCAGATGCTGAGTCCTCAGGAAGGGGGACCAATGACTAATAAATCAGGTGTTTCTTCCTTCAACTACTGGGATCAATAAGAAGGAGAAGAAATAAGTTCTCTTGTTTGCATGAGATAATGCAGACAAACAGCTCCATGTAGTGGTTTAGGGCATATTTCAAGCCCTAAAGTTTGCACACAGGTTCAGCTTATTGAGAATAACTTGTATTTCAGCAAGACTAGAAAGTTATTTGCTAAGAAGGGAATACAGGGCTAAGAATATGGGTTACCCCAGACAGAAAAATGGAGAATCCAAGGCCTTCCCCATCAGCTTTCTGTTGAGCCTCTGGGCCAAGATCTATATACAATATTTCCATTTCAGAATTCCCAGACTTCTTGCAATATAACAACTATAAGCCTAGTGCTCAGCTAAGTAGCTTTCTATTTGCTGTCATATGTAAACATGCAGGCACACATTCACTTTTTTTTTTCAGTAGTTTAGATAAAACTCATCCTGAGTCAGTCTTCCAAACCTCCAGTACCTGCATGTGTTCCAAATGAGGCAGAAAGACTAAAGAGCAAGAGAAATCGGTCTTTGCAGAAATGTAGAGAGTGTGTATTATGTACATGTACACCCTCAATTGGGAATGGATAGTATTTTGCCTAGAGAACCTCATTTTGTCTTTGAAATAAACAGAGAATCAGGTTCCTTCTTGTAATTGTTTCACCTGAGAACATAGTGATCACCTTCCTGAA